GTTTGTTATGTTAATGATCTTGTCATTGTACCTCTTTTGTCAATCAAACATCTAGAGCCCAGCTTAATAAAGAAACTAATTGTGCATCACTATTCACCGCTGGAAAAAACACAGGCATATCCTGCTACAGAGATGCCAGCTGAATACATTATTGATTATTATGAACTGAAATATGGGACATGTCTAGCAATTAAACATAGATATCAAAACTAGGCTGTTGAACAACCAACGCATAGTTCCACACCTTACCTGCTGCCATTGGATTGTGAAGCGTTGCCACTTACGGCTCCCATTTATGTGTCATTTTTGCTGATACACTGTGCCCTATGAATGACTTCTTCTTTGATAACTCTGCCTGTGAGTTATTATATGCATTGGTTTTCATGAAGATTAAATACACCCAAATTCTAATTCTTTGTCGCAAAATAAAAAAGTAGGATGTCAATGCATCAGATGAAATGGGCCTTCAGTTGCTAATTGATAAATCGACTTGTTATGCAGCGGAATATGTTGTGCCTGGAATGGAATCAGATTATAGCCTAGCAAGACAACCGTGCATTATACATTTATACTGTACATAAATTTGAAACTTAAATCAAGTGATGTTATCCGCTTTATCAGAGAAATGTATGTTTGATATTCCTGGCCCCTGGCCAGTTATTCTCTATATGTTGTCATCAACATAGAAGCTGAAGAAAAACTGGCTGAAGGTCCCCTCAGCTATGTGATTATGCTGTCCGTAATGAAGGATAATGATGATCAGTTTTAACAATGAATGACAGCTGAAATCCACTTTTTTTCTTAATGCACGTGAATGCTAGTCATGGAAAGTGTAGTGTATTGCTGTTCCCTGATGAGAAAAATTCTTCTTGCTCCCAGGAACAACAGGATCCATTTGAATTGGTTGCTGATGAACTATCGATTCTTGGAAATAGACTACGATCCATGGTGGTTGCTGAGGTTAGTAGTGCATCCTACTCATGTCAACTCTCTGTGGTACTAGGCTGCTGCTGGCATGGTGTTTGGATGTTTCTTTTATCTAGCGATTACCACATTGTCAAACATACCCAATTTGCCTAAGTGAGTACTTTCAGGTCCCTAAACTAGAATCAGCTGCTGAATATTTTTTTAAAGTAGGAGCTGAGGGAAAAAGATTCCGACCTACGGTAACATCTAATCTCCCTTTTTTTTAGTCAATATTACATTATCGCTTTACTCTATGATTTCTTTCTATCCTATCTACTTTGTGTGCACTGAATGCATTTATTTACATTGGCAGGTTTTATTGCTTATGGCATCAGCTCTGAAATTCCCAATACCAGAATCGACAGATGTTGGAGTTTTCAGTATATTGGCAAGTAAGCTGCGCACACGGCAGCAAAACATTGCCGAGATAACTGAAATGATCCATGTTAGTATGGCGCCTGACCATCATACCCAGTATATTTTATTTTTTGTTTCTCAAGCTGACATCTATTACAGGTCGCAAGTCTTCTGCATGATGATGTTCTGGATGATGCTGACACTAGGCGAGGTGTCACTTCATTGAATTGCATTATGGGCAACAAGGTACTGTATGCCACACCATTGAACATTCAGTATACACTTATACTAGGTGAATCAACTGGGTCCTCGCATTAAGAACTACAAATTACTTCCTCCCTCTGGAAATACTTGTTGGAGAAATGGATGTATCTAGGCATATTTTAGTTCTAGATACATCCATTTTCATCCATTTCTTCGAATTCCGGACGGAGGAAGTACTTTAGTAGTTAGCACATAGTGAAAAGCTTGATCTTCCAGTAAAAAGTGCTGCACGACAGCAGGAAAGTTTACCTGGACATCATTTTTTAAGAATTTTTTTTGGAGGTACTGCAGTCAGAATCATTTTGGCATTGGTATTCATGAAACTCTTTTTTGTGCAGCTTTCTGTTTTGGCTGGTGACTTTCTCCTGTCCAGAGCATGTGTGGCACTTGCAGCACTTGGGAATACAGAGGTACATTATTTATTTATCCTAAGATAGATTGCTGTACTATCCTGTAATTGTTTTAATGATGCGGAAATTAAAGTGGTTTTGATTTATGCTGGTCACTATATATGTTTGATGAGCATCAGTATCACACAAGTCTGTTCTTGTATTACTTTTAGTTTCCGCTTGGCATAATCATTATGTCCTTGCTTTCTTTACTCCTATAAAGACGTCAATCTGTGGTGGTTGTGTGTTCACCTCCTTTCTCCCTCCTGATGTAAGCTGTTAGATTTGTTGCAAATGCCTGAGATGGTGGTCCTGTTTGCTACCAAAGTAGGGTAGCCTGACTTGTTTTGTCATAGCAACCTATTGGGTGGTCTTATTGTTATATCTGTTTCAATGCTGGAGTATTTAGCTAGTTAATAGTAGGCTGTCAGTGTCATTTCTTAGGGAATCATTTTTCTTGTTTTCTCCATTCCAAGCTTATCCATCCTAATGGTTTAGCATTCAAGATTGTCCTGTATGGTTGGAGTTCTGACCTGCTCTCTTTCTTGCAAGTCTTATATGGTACCAAACTTTCAATTGATCAACCTAACTTATGCAGGTGGTATCTCTTATGGCAACTGCAGTTGGACATCTAGTTACTGGTGAAACTATGCAAATGTCAACAAGCAGAGAGCAACGGCGAAGGTTAAATAATGCTTCTCTATCATGAATAAATGTTCATCACATCTAATGCCTAAAACCAGGAGATGCAGAATAAAATGCTTGGACATATTTGTTTTTTTTTGTTGACTCTGGTTTCTCCATTTTTTATGCCATTGTTTGTTGGTTCTGATACGATTCTAAAACAATGCGCAGTATGGAGTACTACTTGCAGAAGACGTACTACAAAACAGCATCATTGATATCAAACAGTTGCAAGGCTGTTGCTATTCTTGCAGGGCACACTGCTGAGGTTTCAGTGCTTGCATACGAATATGGTCGAAACCTGGTTCGTAAAACATCTCTCTTTTCTGGAATTATTTCCCCTTCTGATTTAATCCTGTAAAGCACCGACTTGATTAATTCGATATCATTGCAGGGTCTAGCCTTCCAGTTGATCGACGATGTTCTTGATTTCACAGGAACCTCTGCATCACTTGGGAAGGGTTCATTATCTGATATTCGTCATGTAATAACAGCCATCCTCTCTTTTTTTTTTGTTATATTTTTTTTACAGTATTCATCATCTGAAATAGCTGTTTGCCTCCCAGGGCCAGCTACTTAGATTGTTTCTCAGTAGGACTGATCTACACAAAACTTTGCTGGCTAACAATAGTGCTACATCGGCTGATTGGCATAGACTGCTTGTCTGACACGAAAGCTCATGTTGCTGTAATTATGTTAGCCACTGTCTTGAACTTGTCACCCTCATGCCAGACAGATAGAATACTCTCACATGAGAAACTTGCATAATGGCATTCTCTTTCAGCCTTCATTGACCTATCGCAATTAAGTTAAAATATTAGAAGTGTAGAATCTACTATTGACAACGTAGATAAGAAGGATATTCTGAACCTTACTGCTTGCAAAACTAATTGTGTATGTGGCCAGCCAGTGCAAATTAGATGCAAATTTTAGTTAACAAAGAGCTCTTGTGCTCAAGGGGAGCCTTGGAGCAGCGGCAAAGCTGTTGCTTTCTGACCATGAGGTCACATGTAGTCCTTGAAACAGCCTCTTGCAGAAATGCAGGGAAAGGCTGCGTACAAAAGACCCAAAGTGGTTTGACTCTTCCCCGGACCCTGCGCAAGCGGGAGCTACGTGTACAGGGCTGCCCTTTTTTTTTAGAGAGCTCTTGTGTCAAAATTAAAATACTTGCTTCTGTTTATGATCACCTACTTTGTGAAATTACCAGCATATCCAGTTAGACGGTCCTCAAACAAGGACCACATCCTGCTGTTTCTCCCAGTCATCATGCAGGTAGCGCTTGTTTTTTTGCATTACATAATGGCATTCATGATGCAGGGAATCATTACTGCTCCAATGCTATATGCGATGGAAGAATTCCCACAACTACAAGATGTCGTTGACCAGGGTTTTGACAATCCTGCAAATGTTGAAATCGTGAGTAGTTATTTTATATAAATAAAAGAATGGATGCTGTCTTGACCTGTATTGTGACCTGAAATAACAATCCATACTTGCAAACTATAGGCCTTGGACTACCTTCAGAAGAGCCGGGGAATCGAAAGAACAAAAGAACTTGCGCAAGAACACGTTAACCTTGCGGTCAAAGCCATCGAAGCTCTCCCGGACAGCGACGATGAAGATGTTCTGATTTCAAGGCGCGCTCTCATTGATATCACACAGAGAGTCATCACGAGGACAAAATAGTAAGATTATACACAAGGTGGAGAAGATAAGGCGGAGTTTCGCCACAGGTGTAGTGTTCCACTTGAAAATTTTGGACGCCTTGGTCATTGCATTCTTTCCATTGCCCGAGTTTTGTGTAACATTTGATGAGACTTCAGGGTAACCATTCCTGGGAATCATCCTAAGTCGCAGCTGTAGTGGTTTTAGTTACTGGTGGCAGCAGAATCTGTGTATTAGTATCACGATTGGCGATTGCAATGGTAACCTGATCATAAGACTGTAACCTTATAAATCGAAGTATGTAACATTATATACGAGGTAAAAAGGAACCTGTTTCTTGTGTTGAGAAAATCATGTTCTTCCGTATGTTGATGACTCAGTAATTTTTGCTATCTTTACCCTTAATTTTCCTGAATTGAACTACATCGTCTCAATCTTGCGGCATCCTGCTTTGTATATTTGGTTTGATATGCAAATGTGTTCAATACGCCATGATAAAACATTACAGTGGAAATAAATGTTGATCTGGACATATCATCAATGGCCACATAATCTAGAATGTCAGTGTAGTTGCAACTTCAAATCAATCTTTGTCTTCTTTTAGTGGAGACTTGAGAGTTGAGACCTAATGTGGGCCTTCAAATCAAATCATGCTTCTGCCACTGCTAATGAATGCTAGGCCTGGCTCCAGAACCTCTCCTTGGCCCACGCGATCGCCTCGTCCACGGCGGCCGCGCCGACGCTGTCGATGTCGCCGTCGTCGTCCATGAGCAGCGGCGCCCGCTCCCTCACCTCCATCATCATCGCCTCCTGCATCACCGCCTCCTCCAGCCGGTGTGGCCGCGGCCGCGGCGGGTTGCCGAAGAGCGACGACGATGCGGCCGAGGACGGCGAGTAGTAGTACCCATAGTCGTCGGCGGCGCCGGAGCACTCGGTGCTCGTGTCGGCGGCGTAGTCTGGCGCCGGTGACCGCGCCCTGCCGCGCCGCTGCGTGCGCCGGAAGCTCGGCTCGCGGCTGCTGGTCTCGGGGTTCGACGTGAAGCAGCAGAAGCCGCTGCTCGCGCCGCGGTGGTGCCGCGACGAGGAGCTCTTTGCGGCGGCGCCGTTGTTGCTGACCGCCGACGACGCCGCGCTGCTGCCACTATGGTTCGTCCAGTCGCCGCCGTTGCCGTAGTAGTAGCGGCACGCCGGGTACGCGGCCGTCGAGCACGTGAAGCTGCTCTGGTACTCCGCCCTCGTCGACACGCTCGACGGCGGCGACGAGTCGTACCGGCGCGACGGGATCGCAATGGGCCTGCAAAACCGGGAGCGTCAGAATGATGATCGAACGACGCAACGTGCTTGTGCTGTCACGTGACCAAAACCAAATGCTTCATGCATGCGCACGAATCGTCTGGTTCACCTGAGCTTGGACGCGAAGGAGGAGAGGGCGGCGTCTCCACGGCCGCCGCCGCTGGCCGCCGACCGGAAGGCGGAGCGGCCGGAGCCGAACTCGTCGGAGCTGATCACCGACGAAGACTTGGTCGACTTGGACCTGGACCTCGACCGCACCTGACGGGCACGGGCGCCGAAGATGTCGTCGAAGAAGCCCTCCTCGGTGGGCACGGCCGCCGACGCCGGCCTGCCACGGCCGTCTCGGCGGCACAAGGCGTCGGCGCCACCGCCGTAGGAGTAGTACGGGTACTGGCCGGCCGTCGCGGCGTGGTAGTCAGCGGCACCGGCGTCGCCGCAGAAGCTGCTAAGGAGCACGGTGCGCGGCGGGCCGCCGAACACGTCCCGGAAGTCGTCGGGGGCGAGGCTCTTTTGGCCGTCCGACGAGCGCTGCCGCGGCAGCACCGCGCCCATCGTGCACCTCCATGACTCGTCCATTCCACCGACCGATCACACGCACCAGAGCACACTATGCTCGATCGTGTGAGGGCTCTGTGCTTCCTGGTGTCAGAGGAGATGGAGCTCTTATGATGATTTATACAAGAGACAAGCAGGGTGAGTAGGTTGGAAAGATGGGTGCTTTTGGGCCGTTGGATGCGTGTATATATAGTGCCCGTTTTAGTGCCACTTACGTACTGTAGCCAGGTACAATTAGTACGGACAGGTACTAATCGGCGTCACCTTTGCATCCTAATTTCACTCGCAGTGAAGAAGTTGCTGCATGCCAATTACAGTCCTGAAACTTCACGTTTCTTTGGCAGAAAAAAGTTACAGAACATTGCCGGTTTATTTATATTTATAAATCAGAGAGTATTCATTGATTTTTCCGGAGACGGATACATTAGTTATAGTTTTATCCTGCTTGTGGGCGGTCAAATCACATGTTAAAAACGGTCCAACGTCTGCATGATTAAGCACTCTGATCACCACAATCATGCACCGATGCTGCTTAACTGAAAGACCAAACACTTTAACCACTGCACAGTTGTCAGTAAAACTGACAGCTCCTTGTTCTGTGTTGCCTAGCTGTTGTGTTGTTGTATATATCTTCCAGTATATTAGATAAGATAATTGATGCGTGCAAGAGGGGAGTAAGTAATCGATTTTAAGATATGATAGCATCACTTTTAGTCGAGGGGAGGAGGCATGTGAGATGGGATGATCATGTTTTGCCGTCCCCTTTGCAGACACGGCATCATGGTGGTTGATCCATTGCCCCCAAAATCCAATCTCCTCGAGCTTTTTTCATACCAGAAAATTCCATTGCCTTTTCCACTTGACCGGAGACATGGCCTCCTTTATGTTCTTGTTAATGGTTTCCCTTTGTGTTGGTGCTTTGCACACTAACTATTGTATTAGTTACAGGGCGTAGAAAATTATCCAGTTCAAAGATCAAAAGGTTCTTTCTCGAACAGAAAATTAAATGACCTCAGGCCCCGAAAGATCGTCATGTTTTGAATCATAGTCTCCTATATTAGAATGCACTTATATATAACTCAAGCTATTGAAGTGTTTTATGAGATAAATTTACGCATCTGACTTCAAGTATTTGTAAATGATGTTGACGGTTGGTTTTGAAAGTTTAAATATGTCCATCCAACACTATACTCCTCTGAGGCCTGGCATGTTTTTTGAGATTCGTCTTGATGCATTAATATGTTGCTCGTTATCTGAAAACGTTCTATACTCCATCAATATGTACCTTTATTTGAGGCAAATTTTGACTTCCGAAATTCAGGCTTTGACCAAGGACGAGTCAAATGATAGGAGGATTGTCTTACAGAAAATTGTGTTGTATTCATCTTGAAAAGTAGTTTTCCTGAGTTGTGACCGTGATTTTGTAACCCTTAACAAAGTATTATACTGAAAAGACACCATTTGCATATATAAAAACTGATCCAGCGGTGATGGAAAAAGCTACCAGGCAGAGACAGATCGAATTAAGTGGTTACTTATTACTCCAGCTCAAAGTGGTTATTAATGACTCGAGCCGGTGTCATGCATAATGTGTGCTAATTAATCTCAGCAGCGGTCAGTTCAGTCAAGTTGAAACAAAAGTAGCAAGCAGCTGAGAGGTGAGACACTACAACTCAGGAGCAGCTCATGACCGAGGTGCAAATCATGTGGAGCTTGCTTAAAGCTGTGGGCTAGGGAGCTAGAAAGGCACACTTTGTGCTCCGCAGATGCACCTATCACGCTTAAACAAACTCAAGGAAATCTTTGCCAGAATCACGAACAATCTTTGTTTATGCGACATTCCAAGATCCAAATCCAACGTCGCCTCTCTGGATGATCCATGCAGAATGTATACTAAGAAATGCAGCAGCTCAGCATCTATCCATGTATGAAATTCTGAATTGCTATGAGTGTCTTTCTCTTTCAGGACCCAAGCTAAGCAAAGTGGAGCTTAGGTGAAAGCACACTCATTGGCTACGCATCACACAGATCGAGTTGCTTCGTTCCCAAACCATCTCTTTTTTTCGTTCCATTGGGGGTCCCCCTTGTGTTCTTCATCGTCTGCTGGTCTAGAAGAAGAGAACAGATCAGGTTTCTGTCTGTCTGTGTGTCTTTCCGTTCATTAGGCATCATGGAGCCGGGTCAAATGTCGAGCTTGACCGGCTCCATGAGCGTGTCTGCGCTTTCCCCAGCAGATTCAGACAAAACGCATCGATGCTTTCAGAATTCAGGTTCAGGCGCTCAGGCTCAGGTAGGGTGAGCGAGTGAATGATGCTGAACGAGCCTTGGCTGCATGCATGCAAAGAAGAGCAGGGCGTGAGATGGATCGACGGGAGATGCAAACAGAGAAAAGATCATTCTGAATGATGATGATCCGGTGCCAGTGTCCCACAAGGCGCGAGCGAGCGCTGCTGCTTGCTTTTGCCGCCGACGCCGCGCAATGATGCGCATGATTTGCCCGTGTCCGGTGTCCCCTCCGGCTCCGGCAAAAGGTCGCGGCGAGGCGAGCGCTGAACGTTTTGGCGAGGAAAGGAGGGGCTGGAGGAGGGGCACTGCAGCTGGGCCTGGGCGGGCTACAGATACTGAGGGGAAAGCTAAAGAGAAGCACAAAGATTGAAGACGAAGAGAAGACTAATTAGCTGTAGTATAATCTCAGCGAGGTGTCCAATCATACTTGCTGCAATGAATCTCCTGACTCCTGGTTAGATTCTTGTCCAACCATCTCTGACGATAAGTATAGTACTAGCTAACTTTCCTCTGTTTTGACCGTCTCTCTGTTTTTGTTTTTTCAGCCAAAGGAAGTTGCTGAAATATGTGTGAATTCGCTGAAACCAATGTCAGGTTTAGCGAAATTCTATGATGTTTTTGTTGGGAGACGACACTTATGACACTGTTGACTCCTTGTCTTGTCGGGCAAGTAGGGAGGGCAGGCCTGTCTGGTTTGCATTGCCGAATCGGCGTCCAGGTCACCAGCCACGTCGGCCCGGCAAATGGGTAAACCTGGCACAATGTGAGAACTTCGGCGTAAACAGTGACGGAAAAATTAGACATGTAAACACCGCCGCAAATGTACAAACAGGGTGAAATGTGGAACCCACTCTGGATTCCACAAATTGCCATTGGGATGTGATGCATCAACCTTCTGTTTTCGGGGAGAATATCATACGGAAACCAACATTCGGTGGGAACCGGTGAAAACCACAAGAAGCGGATGTTTTGAAGTTTCAAAAAAAATCTAGAAAAAAATACGGGATGTTAAGAGGATGATGTTTTATTGCCACACAAAAATTCAAGTTGAAGCACGTTACGAGATGTGAGCTATGAAAAAGACAAAATCAACATTGAATAGGGCCGAATAGTAATGTCAGTAGTATTTAGGGCTGAATTTGTCTTTTTCATAGCTTACATCTTATAATGTGTTTGAAATTGAAATTTTGCGTGACAATAAAACATCATTCTCTTAACATCCCGTATTTTTTTCAGATTTGTTTGAAACTTTAAAATATGGTCTCCACGAAGTTTTCATTGAATATTGATTTCGTATGATATTCTTCTCCCCTGTTTTCGAAGAAAGATGCGCCATTCTCTGTCAATTCAAAAAAGAAAGAGAGAAACATTGAGATGGATAAATAGGAGCTTTACATATACACGAAGATCCATGCATGCATGCATGCCCTGATTGATTGATTTGCGGTGCTTGGAGAACACACAAAACACAATGATCACTCAAGTATCTTCGTTTAGGGGCAACTCTAAAGACAAGGTCATCATGATGCGCCACAAATCAGCAACATGCAATGGTGGCAGGAGAAGCAAAGAACATGCATAATCGCTTTAGGTTTGCTATATGCCGTCGCAAAGCGCACACATGTGGGCCACCAGGATGCTCATTGCGAAGGGGACACCGAACCAAACCAACCAAACCATGCATATGCATGGATGCAAATTGCGAGCCTTTCCAGGCTTTAAAAGAAGCGAAGAGCCCTCTCGCCTTTGCGCGCGCACACATGAGACCAAATTTACGCTTTTGCTCTTTACTTTATGTATGTACTGCTGGCCAGAAAAGAATCGCCGGCTCTGGCACAGCTCAGCGAGTGTGTGCTGCAGGCCTGCTGCTCATGCAAATTACTGGCTTTATGTGAAGGCTTTCGTATCGTACGTACATTCTCATGATACCGATGGCAACGGTGAATGTAGTAAAGCTTCATGCAAGACGAAGCAATGATGATGTAAAACTTTGTGGGAGGCTCGTGCTATCTCAACTTCCACATGAACGTGATGCTGTAAGGTTCACTTTGTTATGTACTCTGAAACAATCAACACTAGTAGAACTAGTCATCAACCCGTGCATCCGTACAGGCTAGCATTTTCTAAAAGAATAATATATAGAATGAGAAATATAGAAAGATACTCCCTCTGTAAACTAATATAAGAGCGTTTAGATCACTATTTTAGTATTCTAAACACTCTTATATTAGTTTACAGAGGGAGTACTATGGAATATGCTTGCGATATTACTATTGAAACAATTAATAGTTTGCCTTTTATGGTAGCTGTAACCCGCAGTACAAAATAAAAACTATATTCTCAACTTAATTTGTTTCTAAGTTTATTGAATATTACAGTTACATGTATGTTTCTAAGTTTAAAGTTGTGATATGCAATTCATTCTTGTCATATTTCACTGAGGTATTCTTTTGTCATATTTACATATGGGATTGGTGCTTACGTATCTATTGCAAAACACATTATTAGAGAAGTAGTCACAATAGTTCATCTCAAGTATACATTTAGATGCATCCATGTTTATTTGTTTTTATTTTTCAGAAAACATGAATTTAACTACCTTGTTTGGTAGTATGTATCTGTTGTTTAACAAAAATGAGCTTCTTGATACTTCTGGGGGGACTCATAATTATTGCCGGAAATTTCATAGAACATAAATGGAACTGATTAAAAATAGCGCGATATTGCTATCCTAA